ATTTTGCGGAAAAGCTTCTCAAAAGTTTTGTAAGTAGAGGTTGCACGAGGCTACCATGATTGAAGGGGGATTTGGACGAGATTTCGGTTGTTACGATTGCGCAGAGAGCTNATCAGTAGCCATGCATATTGCAAGAAAACCTTCTTATGCAAATAATTAATAACAGGTTATGTGAATTTGATATATTATTTCTACCTTAAAAATCCCTGAATTTTGGCGCCAATAATTTTGGGACACCCTGCATATATTCGACTTACAGGCTCCAACAAAGGCGATTCCGCCGAAACGTTAGCTGAGAATAAAACGTTTTCATCAATCTCGGGCTGAGTAAACGCATGACGAGTTTGCTTGGATCATGCCGAGATTAATGGAAACTCAGCCATGCAATATTCTTAACCCAGACTATATCATTCTTGTCGTGCCCATCCGCAGTCCTCAGTCTCCTCCAGGCTCTTGACTGCAGGAAAACGCCCTAAAAGAATCTCTCATATACTGATCGAAAGCGCGCGGTTCACTAGAGTATCTGTTTGTTAGTCTGTTCTTCTTCTCCTACACCGGAGAGTGTTTCTGAAAGTCCCAATCCCTGTAAGTGAGAGTTGGGTCATCTGCGATTCTAACGCGGTCGTGCCGTGTGGCTCCCCCCACCCATCGACACAAGCCAGATGAGGTCTAAACCCCAAGTAGTGTCTTTTCAGCTGCTTCCGAGATTTTTGCGTAATGTTGTACCGACGTGCTCTTGCAAGAACACAATACTTATGTCGTCCAGCTCTAGAAACTTGCAGACGCTGCTCGGAAAAAACCGCCGAGATCAGCTCTCTACCTACTGCACGATAATGCTAGGCCCCATGTAGCCAATGCGACTCGAGAAAAATGGAGGAACCAGGCTGGGAAACTCTTTTCCAACCTCCTTATTCCATCGAAATTGTACCTTCTTGTTTCTCTAATTTCGTACCAACCATCACAAAACTTTTTTAACAGCCCAGAATATGTTGGAGACTGCCTCGTGCTGTGTTTCACACACGCCTAGCTGGCTACAGTGCAGCCTTATACAACGCCTAGAAACTCGTAATCTTTTCGGTGTGTCGACTAAGTCGGTTTTGAGGATTTTGGAGTCCTTATTTTGTACTATCTAGGCCGTTTTTCGATCCGACAACATACATTGTGCCATCCTTGAAAGGTCACACGCTTATCTCAACGAGAAATCTGAAAAACCAGTTTTATCTCCAAGTGTCCCTCTAAGGAGGTGAAGAAGTGGTAATGTTAGCTTAATAACACCACATAATCCTGCGAGACTCAAGTCGATTCACTCAGCAGTGAAATCGCACCCCGATTCAATTTCAGAGTCATGAACTACAACTTCTCTTATCATGTGGCTTGGCATGACCTTTCCAAGATGGATTTCCATACAAGCATGTGCTGCACAGCTTGAGTTGTTCAGACTGAACTTTGATAAAAGGCTTGTTCGCTCTAAATCCTGTGGTTCCGTATTCTATCGTAGGTTATTCATGATTGGCAGCGATGAAATTGTAGTTCATTTTTCAGTCATTGGAAGTTAGTCCGCTCTGCTTTCACCGATGTTTTGATCAACCTCAACATAAAAGGAGCATCCACACGTCGAGCATATCGAGTGACGATTCAACACATCTGAATACTCTGTCAGACCTTGGTCGGGAAAATCTCAAAAGGCTCACTGTCCGCAATGACTTAAGAACTCTACGTTGGTGCTTTCCTTCCGTGATGAGAAATTAGATTATGACTATCTTATGTTTTCTAAGGACATCACATAAAAGTGTGAGTCCTCTTTTTCACTGTTTCGAAGATTTTTAGTGAAATCTTCTTCATCGAGAAAGCCACGAAAAAAGTTGAACTTCATTAATGTTTCAAATGTTGACACGAGCTAGGAAAACTAGATATTTCAAATCGATGAACATCAGGGGTAGGCGAAAGACGTGTATGGTTTTACTTTAGGCAACTAGAAAATAGCAAACACTTCAAGAAATCCAGAAATCCTCTTTGAATTAGATCACAATAAATTAATGCACAAATATGATCGGAACACTAGAAGTTTGGCAAATGCAAGGTAAATGCCAAGCAAGAACTGAGTACGAGCCGAATGAGAACCAAACGATTTTGTAAAGTAAGCACACACTATGCAAAAAGCTATTGTACAATATTCAAATATCACATATGATCAGCCTTCGTTCAAAAACGTTACGATCTTCTCGGAGAACCATTTGGGGTATTTCATATAAAAGTCATGACCACCTTGAGCATGCACTTCCAATCTGAAACAACTATATGATTTGCAATGCTTATGAAGGAGTATAATACTCAGGAAAATTCAGATTTTCTGCCCATATACTTTCTAGAGAAGAAGTTAAAAGGGAAGCGCAAGGGAAATGAAGCAGGCCATATCAGATGGGGATGCAGGAAGAAGATTGGAAGAGAAGAACTGATATCCCTCATTTAAATGTGATGCAGACTGGAAATTGAAGGATCATAAATTTGTTTTCCGAATCGGAAAGCAGGTCGTGAAAAAAACCATTCTGTTTTTTTCGATTCACCGCCAAGCTGGAAAGACGAATCTTACAAATCGTGACATCATAGGAGGGAGCGATGAAGCGTGGGGCCAAAATTTCTTTTCCGCTACGATTTGTTGTTTCCACTGAATGTTCTCTCCTGGTTATTTCCTTTACTTTTTTGTTGATTGTCAATGAGGAAGAGATCCCAAGCGAGCCTGTCAGCAATATTTTGTAGATAAGGTGTAGGTGGTGCTCAGAAAACGCAAGTATGGATTGTCCCGCCCGACACCGATCGTGATAATCTTCCTCACACTAGTCCTTATCTGGTCAGAGACCATAGGGGATAGTACGTGCATTGACAATGGTGAAAGAGGGACATTTGAAAACCATTCATCATATTCGCCCAAAAAACTTTCTCACGAGTTGATCGTCGCCGTTTTGTTTCTTCCACTTTTATGTTGACCGAGCGCTGTCATAAGTTGCCGCGCCTCATACTTGTTAGGAATTCTTTAAGTAGTATAGCTGATTGTCTTCCTCTCCCTATGTATTCATACTTCGATCCACATGTCCTATATTCTGACTGGTAGACAGCCCTATCAGTGCGTTAAGCCTGAAGTTTAGCTTCATCTGTGCAAATACTTTTTGCTGTACTGAACATGTTGTTGACGACTGCAGTGAAATACTTGCTTGTTCTGCAGATTAGTATAAAGCGAAACAGTGTCGAAAAGTTCGATCACATTACTGTTTCCGAAATCGGAGGTAAGCGGCAATCCGAGAGAATGCTTAGTATTGGGCAGGTGAGACGGAACCATGGTCAGTAGCTGACGTACACTACTATTGAGAGACCTAGAGGTTCTTCAGTTGGCCCTCACACAAAACTAATGGTGAGTTCACGTATCGGTTCACGTGGCCGATGAACGAAGAGTTCACCCCCACCCCTCTTTTCGCTACCCGATATAGTTGAGGGACCATTTGATCTCAACGCGCGTGATTCTGTCAACCCGTTCAATTCAGTTTCGTGTTCTGGAACCTTATGTTTCGGTTCAAGACGGTTGGGACTTCTGCGGATTATATTTTGAAATTTTCAGCGACATCTCAAGTACTGACAAAGGCTCTTTATGAAACTACGTGGTATGGGAGCTGTTGACTTCATTAATTCCCTATAAAGTCAGCATTGCAGTACAAAAGAGCGCTTTAGAAGCCGGTCCGCAAGATATTGTCCAATCAGTAAACATTTCCATTAACAACATCAAGCAACACTTGGGAACAGGTTCTTCGGTAAGCATCGCATAGCAAAGAACAGCATCATATGTTAGTGCGGTAAGACAGATGATTGCGCACTGATTGAAGAGATCACCTAGAAGGCTAGAGTTGTGGATCGGCATATATTTATCTAAAAGAAAACCATTGAAGACGTGGACGAATGGCGTCCACTCCAGCGGTGAAACCTTGGTGAGTTTGGGTTCGTAGTTCTGGAATGAGTTCAAAACAGGTCGTCAGTTTGCTAGAGGGGATAGAACTTCTACAACATAGTGTGCAGATCATCTCGAGTTGCATTTATGCTTATGAAGAGGACGCTCACGTCTAAACGTTAGGCCGTCGGGTTGATAATGTATTGCTCCGGAAAAGCTTTCAAGTCACAGGGACATAAAATCTCGAGCAACTATGTCGAATGTAAAACAAAGGAGAAGTTGGAGTTGGGGTTGGCCAGTATATCACCCGGGACTATTTCGTATTTTAACCATGTTCTGGATGCTGTCTGTTGAGTATAGAATACAATTTTTTACTTTACCTCGGATAATCAGTAAATCGTTCCACCTGAAACCTCACACGGCACAGGAATATTACATGTGCTGAGACATCCGCTATACATTTCCCTTTGTGCACTTAAGCAGTTGCACCAATCGCCTACCAGCTATTGTTTCTTACCTTGCTTTTTTGAGAACTGAGAGGAAACACGTCTTCGGATCGCCACAGAAGCGATCTTGTCCACCATTCATGATCAACGATGGCACGGTTATTTTCGGCAGTACATAGTCACATGGAAAACGACCTCCACAAAAGTCATACACTCTGAAAAATGTGAATCTATTATACTTCATTCTCGCGAACAAATAAAATACACAGAACTGGTTCAAATGCTTGTCAACGCCTAGTGCAGAGAATTAGGTGGAGAGAAAAAGAACAAAAATAAAAGTGGAAACCAGTTTAAGTAGCGAAAACCCAATAAACTGTCTGAGGTCTCAATAAATGGTCTACAAAACCGAGTCGCTTCTCATAGTAGCTGAGAAAAAGAATTTCCACGACTATTCGACTGAACAGCCGCGGCTAGTTGCCCAGTTCACGGTAATTTTGAAGTACCCTATTTGAGTTTAAAAGCGAAAGTATGGGTTGGGAATATTGCATCGGTGGTGATGGAAGCGCCGATTTTGCGGAAAAGCTTCTCAAAAGTTTTGTAAGTAGAAGTTGCACGAGGCTACCATGATTGAAGGGGGTGGACGAGATTTCGGTTGTTACGATTGCGCAGAGAGCTGACTACAACAGGCCAAGACTGTCCAGAATTGCTCTCCAAGTCGTTATGAGTCATGTCAAGCTATTTGAACTTCCTGCATGAGTCCCTTATGACTGGGCTCCCTCTACAATGCCGTTGAATCTCGTCCACGCATACACACGGGGGATCTTCGGGTGACGGAACATTCACCCAGAACTGAATGGACGCGGCAAACCGCGCGGCGAAATTCGTGGTGATTATAACGANTTGAAGTGGGATAGATAAGTAGCATCAGCTGCCCTACTTATCCAATCTACTTGAAACCCGTGCCCCAGTGATAGGCGCCAAAGTCGTTTTAATCACCACGAATTTTGCCGCGCGGTTTGCCGCGTCCATTCAGTTCTGGGTGAATTTACCCATACCCGGGATCTTTGAGCCTTTGTAACGCCCTATCAAAACAGTTCTGCGATCTGTCAGCGCCACATATGGTCCTAGAAGTGCCATAGATTCATCCTAGTGGGATATCTCAGAAGCCATTTTCATCATGAACTGCGTCTTTAAGAAATTGTACCAATCGCGTGCGACTGCGAAGGAGAAACTTTACTGTCAAAGGTTCCAGCGCAGTAGGCAGACGGCAAGAGCAATCCTGATCGTTAATCTGTGTTCATAGTAGGCATCGGTTGGCTCCACTAACCCCTAGAACCCACAAACCTGCTGTCCTAATAAATTCACTGAAAAGTGGCTGTAACGTCGGATTACGTCAATTTCACGGTTGATTAGTGCATCTCTCGCCACGTCACAAGGACGTCACCCAAAGTAACCGATCGAGACATGATCGCCCGAGAAGAGAATGCACTCCTGAACCCGGTCATGAAGCAGTTTGATTGAAGTTAACTATGAAAACGGTTGCGGTCAACGGTTCTTTTCATAGCATCCCAGGCGCATGATTAGAACATGAATAAAGGCTGTGCTTTTCTTCAACTAATCAGTAAAATTATCACGTAGCTAGTTCCATAACTGACGCCGTTTCAGTAGACTTAGATAAACGAGTTCATCTCCCAATACAAATTAGTTTTGGTCTTGACAATCATCGAGATAGACCCAAAAAAGGAAAGCACTTATGTCAAATGCGGCATGCTATTAAACGGAACGTCTCAAATTCAGTGGCTTCACACTCTCCTTCTGATGTTATCTGAATTATCCGATCAAGTGGGTGACGCATTGTCGAATGGTTGCGATAAATCCATGGTCTGACTCATATTTCAGCGGAACGATCGCTGAACATGGTTGTTCCAAGCTGTTCATGATCGGATTTGTTCCGCTAAGCCCTTGGGGATTATCGGTCAACGAGGAGCCGATTCGTGGTGAATTAGTGGGTCCAGATACCGGCAGTACAGTTTTTATGGAAATCTGTGTAGATCGAAGTAGAGTAATAAAGGTGTCATTAAATTTGTTTCAGTGCTTCTGCGAAGAATGAAGACAAGGTAAGTTCGGAGTTGTTCAGACTACTACCAAAGCAAATTCTAAGGGAATGCAGTAAAGAGAAGGCAACATACTGCTGAACGACGTCACATAATGATGCCCATTGCTTTCGTAGGTAGTCCTCCGAGTAATGAGCGAGATATGGAGCCTTGGCGGATGCCATCCAGTGATCGGTATTCCGCATACCTGAAAGCAAAGAAGTGTAGTCCAGGAGCACTCAAAATTTTTTTCGAGAAGGAGAATCAACTCACCGAAGAACGCTGCTGCTCCGAGTTTTGTGACCCGAGAGGCGGAGGCGAGCAAAACCATTTTGTTCACCTGAATTCAGTCACGTGAGAAGCCGAGCATAAGCATTTCATGTGTTATGACACAACTCAAAAAACACTGTGCAAACATGCGCTTTGTCTTATTAGTCGAAGACTACCATAACTTCATAACCTTTAGAGATCCTCAACAGTAACTTTCACGTTCGGTCTTATTGAGACCTGGGCATTTTACTCAATGCTCAATACTGCTGTGTCGTATGTACAAGTTTCTTGTAGTTTAACCGCTTTACTGCTAGGAGTTTTGCGAGATTATCGTCTTCAAGATCCCCTGACATCAGTTCAAAGCTCCCGATATGTGACTTACCCGACCAAACAACGAGGATAGTTGCAACAAAACAACTCGGACATCAAAATTTCCCAGAAGTAACCCAACCTGGGAGACGGGCGTTAGGAACGATTTTGGGTAATGGATTCGCCGCACGCGGCCGTCGCGGACCACTCATTCGCCGATGTNACAACTCTAGCGTTCTTCATACAGCTCAATCAATATGCGATCATTATTTCATGCATAATTCTACTATTAGTACTTTTGTTCTTGTATTTCTTACCTACTGCTTCTTCCCGCTACATTCCATTTCGTTCCTAACGCACCACACCCACCAAACCTCGCTGCTCCACCAACGCAACGTCTTACTCGGTTAGGTGAACAACAAGGAATCAATGAGACTCTCTTGATGACCGTCCGATAAGAATGATACGGCGATCTCAAAGCCCGCAAAGAGAGTGAATGGCAAGGGTGCACATGTTACAGAGATGCAGTTGTTTCGGGCGACGGAACTTCTCCCCGAATTCCCAGACAAGCGGCAGCGGTTACGCGGCGGCTACCCTATCCTTCCACTGAGAATTCATACTTTTTCCTACATAGCGCGGCTGCGCGCGATCGGGTGCGGCGAGCGTGACGTCGCTCTCGGGGAGAAGATTCCGGACCCAGTCATTCCGATGGTTCAGTTTTGTATTTTTCGAGTAAACATGGAACATTCGGGCAGAGGTGTGTAGTGGAAGTGGCGCACTATATCACACACTGGGTCGGGGTCGAGTCAAGATCGATATCCGCCTAGGCCGACCAAGCCTTCCATTCCTCAGGGATCGGTTAATTAGTACCAGACTCGTCTGGGATGGCAAAAGCACTGACTTATACATGGGCTGGCCACAGCAAGTCATTGTATAGGCCACATACGCACTCATTACGCCACTACGATTCTGAATGGAAGTCGAATGCGGGAGCGCATCCCTTAAACGGGACTGATTAACGCCAAAAGACTTTATTCTGGTATCTCCCTAGCGAAGATATCGTTCTCGTAAATCAGGATTTTGCATTCGATGTTGAAATCATTTCTCTGATGTCCTTCTAGTCGGCGCCTACCAAAGTACGTTTTTTATGCTAAATGATCTTTGATGCCTGGGCCAGGCATCCTTCCATTCCCGGCAGTAAAAAGTTCGTCGCAGGCAAAACACTGAATTTGATACACCGTCCTCGCCATGTGCAATATCAATCTCTCCAACTCTTCCAAACGGACAAATTACGTATTAGGTTGGCAAATAAGTCCTGCGACAAAAAATTTGAAGCGTTGAAAATTCGTATCAACAGTGTGAACACGGTAGCAAGGGTGATGGACTTGTAGGACATTCCTCAGGCAATCAACACATGAGTT